AGCAGCAGCAGATGCTGCTGCTGCGGCTGCTGCAGCTGCTATTGCAGTTCCTGCTGCAGGTTCTACCGCTGCTGCAGCTGGTGCTGCAGCTAATGCTGCAGCTGGTGCTGCAGCATTCCGCTATTGCAGGAGGTGCAGCAGGTGGTACTGCTGCTGCAGCTGCTGCTAAAGCAGCTGCTGCTAGTGCTACCACAGCAGATGCAGGCGTTGCTGCAGCTGCTGCCGATATTGGTGTTTCTGCTGCTGTTGCTGCTGCTGCTGCTGTTAATGCAAGCGCTGTAGTGGATGTTTTGCTGCTGCTGCTGCGGCAGCAGCAGCAGCAAATAGTGTTTGCACAGCAAATATTGCTGTTGCTGCTTCCGCAGTATTACTGTTTGCGTTTATAGACATCTTTCTGCTGCTTCTTGGCCACTGCTGTTTCTGCTGCTGTTTCATCTTCTGCTGTTGTTGCTGCTGCTTCGTGTTGATGCTCCTTGGGGTGCTGCAGTTGATGCTGCTGGTGTTTATTGTTTTGAGGCTTTCTAAGATAACGTTTAACGAAGTACTCAGCAAATAGATAGAAATATGTTGAATACATTAAGCACGCCCAGTAAAGATTTTTTAATGTTATATAATGTCCGTAGCTAAGTGCATCATCGAGCTGCTGTCTGTGCCACAGAGCCTTATAAGGTGCAGTGCATGCAATGTACATAGAAACAAACGTAACACCTACACCTATAAACATCTGAGATATTTGAGCAACTGTAACGAATATACCCCAAGAGAGAGGCCTTTCTAAGACAGCAGCAATAAAAAAATATAAATACATTGCTGCATGTACAGTATAATTCATCGCTACAAAATATATACCTGCTGGCTGCTCGCAGGTGTATGCATCCCAGGTGTATAACAGCACTGTTGCATGATGATAATAGTGTAGAAACGACAGCCTCTTCTTCCGCAATATTATAAATGCAGTGTCTATCAGCTCCAAGAACTTTGAATATATAAACAGCAATGTCCACAGCCCTAAACACAAAAACATGCATGCACGCATCCATTTACGGTTTAGGGTTTAGGGTTTTGCAATAGAGAGTCTACTGTTTAGGGTTTACGGGGTTGGGTTTAAGAGGTTAGGGTTTAGGGTTTAGGAGGTTAGGGTTTAGGGTTTAGGAAGTGAGGGTTTAGAGTTTTGGGTTTAGGGGTTAGGAAGACCGCTACCCTTCATAAACCACAGCAAAGACAGCTGAATCCAACACAAACGACACCTTAGGGTTTAGGGTTTAGGGTTTAGGGTTTAGCAAACCTGCAGGCCCGTGGCCGTAGGCATACACCGGAGGAGCAGCAACAGATGCTTCGAACCCCCAGAAGTATATCAAACAAAGCAGCTGAGGTAAAACGCGTATCTGAACAAACAAAATAAACAAATATAAATAAATATAAATAAATATAAATAAATAAATATAAACAAACAGATAAATAAGTTAATATCTCTTATACGAAGACAGCGAGAACGAAACAGCAGCAGAAAAATAATAAAAACAAATAAAATAAACAAACAAACAAAACAACAATAAGCTAATTAATTAAAAATAAATAAAACAGACGAATAAATTAATTAATAAAATAATAAATAATACAAATAAATGAAGCTGAAGTCAGCGAAACAACAGAAACATAAAAACAAATAAAGAAAACCAACTAAACAAAATACACAAACAAAATAAACATATAAATTAAATAAATATATAAATATGTATATATATATGTATATATATACATATATATATATACATATATATATATATATATAAAGATAGCAAGAGCTGCATAAAACACAAACAAATAAAACCAACAAACAAAACAAACAAAATAAATAAATAAACAAATAAATAAAAACAAAATAAATAATAAACAAACTAAATAAAATAAATAAATAAATAAAATAAATAATAAATAATTTATTCTCACCATGCCCATGAAGCTAAAAATAGCAAACGCCAAACAAAACACAAAAAAATAAATAAAACAGACAGACAAACAAAACAAACAACATAAACAAACAAACAAACAAAATAAACAAGCAAAGTAAATAAATAAACAAATAAAAACAAACTAAATAAAATAAATAAAATAAAATAAATAAATAATCTGTTCTCACCATGCCCATGAAGCTAAAAATAGCGAGAGCTAAGTTCCAGCATTTGAGCGGCATGCGCAGATCAAAGGGTTTGCGATTCTTCATATAAATTACCCCTGCATAACATAATACTAAATATAAAACAGCAGCAAAAGGCGCAGCAAAATAATGACTAATGTTCCAGCTCAAAGCAGCAGCAGCGCTGAACTTCTTCTCCCTGCAGCAGCAACAGCAGCAACAGCAACAGCGACAGCAGCAGCAGCAGCAGAAACAGAAGAAACAGCAATAAATTAACTTTGTCATTGCTTGAGTTAATAACAACTGTATATTTATTTTATTTATCTAATAAATGCTACATATAATATAAAGATATATATAATATATATAATATATATATAGATGTAAATATATATATAATATATATAATATATATATATAGATGTAAATATATATATAATATATATATAATATCGCCTTTAAGTAGAATGTATGCAGTTTTATCTAGAAACAATAAATAAATATAATAAATAAATACATATATGCATATACATACATATACATACATATATACATACAGAAATATACATTAATAAATATAAAAATCTATACTATAACCTATATACTGTCTACGCTCTTATAATCTATATTATATATATCTACACATATACATATATATATACATTATATAAATATATATACATTATATAAATATATATATATATATATATATATATAT